GACTCGTAAATTTCTATCTGCAGCCAAGCCCTCAGTCCTCTAGTCCCTCTCCTTGCCACACCTCTCCACTGAAAGTTCCACAGGCACTCATTCGCATGCCCCAGAATTAGCCATCTGCATCCTGCTCATTTCCTCTTCTCTCTCTCCACTCCCATCCCCTCCATCTAAAATGAAATGAAATGAAATAAAATAAAATAAAATAAAATAAAATAAACCATCTCTCTGGAGGCTGGAGTGCAGTGGTACACAGTCATTGCTCACTACGGCCTCGAACTCCTGGGTTCAAGTGATTCTCCTACTTCAGCCTCTGAGTAGTGGGGACTACAGGTGGATGCTACCACACCCAGCTAATTAAAAAAAATTTTTTTGAGCCCCCTGCCTCAGCCTCCCAAGTAACTCGGCTTATAGGCATAAGCAAACCAGAGGGCCTATCTGGAACCCCTGAAGTTATCAGTAAACATTGTCTCACACCTCATCTCCTTGACAGGAAAAGGCATCTTTTTTCCCATGGAGCCTATGGAATTTATCAGTTTCTATTTCTCTTGGGTGGGAAAATCTTCTTGGCATCTAGCTAGGCATGGACAGATACCGTTAGGTGATGAAGTCACTGAAGAGCCATCCTTAGTGTCACGTGGTGCTGGTCTGAGGTCACCATCCATTGGTGTCCATTGGCTTCTCAAGGCCAATACCTAGTCCCAGGGCTAATTTGTACTACTGAGAGTGATTCTGCCAAAACTCTCTTCACTAAGTAGTGGGAATCAGCAGTAGGAAGATGACAGTTTGTTCTTTCTCATCTTTCTCCTAATGTATTTTGGGCCCACTGGGGTCTAAAGTGATACATACATAAAATGCCTCTAGGTATCTCATGCAAAAAGACTTTATTTTTTCATTGAGGCTGGGTCTTTGCTATGTGATTAAGCAGTGGCATTTGTTGAGTACCTGAAGTCATATATAACTGGGTTTAAAACCTTTCTCCCAGACTTACTGTGTGATTTGGGCCAGCCCCTGACGGGTTTAGAACACTAGGAAGGATTTCTAATCATTGGATAGAACAAGGTGATAAACCAGGGATCTAAGTCAGTGAGGCAGCCTATCTTCAAGGAACTGGTTGAAGATGCAGCAGCCTAGTTTCTGGGGACTTTGGTGTCCAAAATTAGAGAAGGACTAGCAGCAAGAATGCTGAATTGCTAAGATACTGAGCCATGAACCCTCAGGCTCTCTGCCTACCTGTGCTGAGAAAAAGGTTGATTCAGCCAGGCACGGTGGCTCATGCCTGTAATTCCAGCACCTTGGGAAGCCAAGGTGGGCAGATCACAAGGTCAGGAGTTCAAGACCAGCCTGGCCAATATGGTGAAACCCCATCTCTACTAAAAATACAAAAAATTAGCCAGGCTTGGTGGCACATGCCTGTAATCCCAGCTACTCGGGAGGCTGAGGCAGCAGAACTGCTTGAACCCGGGAGGTGGAGGTTGCAGTGAGCTGAGATTGTGCCACTGCACTCCAGCCTGGGCGACAGAGCAAGACTCCATCTCAAAAAAAAAAAAAAAAAGGCCGGGCGCGGTGGCTCAAGCCTGTAATCCCAGCACTTTGGGAGGCCGAGACGGGCGGATCACGAGGTCAGGAGATCGAGACCATTCTGGCTAACACGGTGAAACCCCGTCTTTATTAAAAAATACAAAAAACTAGCCGGGCGAGGTGGCGGGCGCCTGTAGTCCCAGCTACTCGGGAGGCTGAGGCAGGAGAATGGCGTAAACCCAGGAGGCGGAGCTTGCAGTGAGCTGCGATCCGGCCACTGCACTCCAGCCTGGGCCACAGAGCGAGACTCTGTCTCAAAAAAAAAAAAAAAAAAAAAAAAAAAAAAAAGTTGATTCAACTTTAGAAGGCTAAGGCGGGCAGATCAGTTGAGGCCAGGAGTTTGAGACCAGCCTGGCCAACACGGTGAAACCCCGTCTCTATCAAAAAAAAAAAAAAAAAAAATTTAGCCAGTCATGGTAGCGTGTGCCTGTAGTCCCAGCCTCCCACTCAGGAGGCTGAGGTAGGAGAATCACTTGAACCTGGGACACAGAGGTTGCAGTGAGCCGAGATTGCGCCACTGCACTCCAGCCTGGACAGCAGTGCTGAACTTCAAGGTTTAGTGGTTACATGGGACCTGTTAATGAAGATTAGAGAGGTATGGTGATATGGTTTGGCTGTGTCTCCATTCAAATCTCTACCAAAAAAAAATTAGCCAGTAATGGTGGCATGTGCCTGTAGTTCCAGCCTCCTACTCAGGAGGCTAAAGTAGGAGAATCACTTGAACCCGGGAGGTGGAGGTGGCAGTGAGCTGAGATTGTGCCACTGCACTCCAGCCTGGGCAGCAGTGCTAAACTTCAAGGTTTAGTGATTACATGGGACCTGTTAATGAGGATTAAAGAGGTGATATGGTTTGGCTGTGTGCCCACCAAAATCTCACCTTTAATTCCTACGTGTTGTGGGAGGCAGCCGGTGGGAGGTAATTGATTCATGGAGGCAAGTCTTTCCCATGCTGTTCTCATGATAGTGAATAAGTCTCATGAGATCTAGGTTTTAAAAAGAGGAGTTCCCCTGCACAAGCTGTCTCTCTCTTTGCCTGCTTCCATCCATGTAAGACGTGACTTGCTGCTCCTTGCCTTCTGCCATGATTCTGAGGCCTCTCCCCAGCCATGTGGAAGTGTAAGTCCATTAAGCCTCTTTCTTTTGTAAATTGCCCAGTCTCAGGTATGTCTTTATCAGCAGCGTGAGAATGAACTAATAACTATGGGGACAAGGAGGCAAACAAATGATCATATATTGGCTTCTGCTGTTGATGTCTTGATTTTGCATCTACTTCATCTCTGTAGCCCAAGCTGTGCACCTGCTCCCTTTTGTTCCTTTATAGTTTCCAGGTGGGCATGGTCTGTTTCTTTTTGGCCTATGTTTACCCCTGTTATTTCAGGTCACAGCCACTGCTCTGATGGCTCCCTTCCTCACCACCATGGCCAGGGTCCGACAGGCTGTGACCATGGTAAGTCTCAGGCCAGACTCTGCTATAATTATTGACTCAATACCTTTCTGGGGAGCTCGGGGCCGGGCGCCTCATCAGCACCAGTAGTTCCTGCCCATTCCCATCTCCCTCATCATTTACCATCCTTCCTTTTAGAGATCTCTAAAGGCTTGTCTCCCTACCCTATCTACTCTTCATCATCTTATTAATAATGAATGATGATAATAAGACTTAACATTTTTTGAGCTCTTACTATGGGCCAGTTGTGTTTTCTCATTTTCAATCTCACAAAATCCCTGTGAATAGGTTCAACTATAATCTGCCTTTTATAGAGAAGGAAACTCAGTGTGATTAAGAAATTTACCTGAGATCTAAAAGCTAAAGCCAGTGGTATTCAGTTTAACTGGATTAGAACCCAGGTTTGTCTTATCTCAGAGCTGATAGCTTTAGCTACATTCCAGCCTCTCTTCCTCTCTTGAGAGAGAGTTGAATTTTTCTCACTTTTCCTGACCTATTTGGCAACTCAAGCATTAGTCCACCTGACTACAGGCTCCTTCAATTCAGTAAATCTTTGTTGACTGACTGTTTAAAACACAAAAACAAAAACAAAAAAAACTTGTATATTTGTTTCCCTTGCTTCACACAAGAACATTTTCCTATCACCCTAATCTCTCTTTAAGGAGTTGAAATATATGTGTGTGCGTGTGCGTGTGTGTGTGTGTGTGTTTTAAGTCATCATCCGTTTTGAGAAGCTCTTCAGTGTCTGCTGTATTTTTAAAGTTATTTTAGATTAAGATGCGGTTAATCCAGCCTCTGATTAATCTTCTCACTTTCTAGATGAGCAAAGGCTTAGCTAAGAAGGGGAAGTAACTCACATAAGGTCAGACAGCAAGTTAATAACAAAGTCAGGGCAAGAGCCCAGATCTCCTGACACCTGGTCTAGTATTTTTCTGATGTCCTAATACATTAAATTTTATTGGCTTCAGGGGAATTGTTTTTCATTTATATTACAAAAACTAATTTATTTTTTCATAGAAAAGGGATAGGTGCATTTTTAGCTACAAGGCCAAGTACAATGAGTTGGAATAACTTACAGTTATTATTTTCATCATATCCAAATGGATTCCTGGATCCCATATGTTTCTAAACTGCAGAAAAATCCTCCTACAGTCTTACAGTTCAAGAATTTTCAGCATGAAATGCCTGATAGATTACCTGACTTTTTTTTGCCAAAAATAAGGCACAGCAACTCTCTCCTGACTGACCTTCTATAGTAGTGCAAGCTTCCTTCCCGAATTCATTCTTCAGTGTTGCAGTCTGAAGGACACCCACATTTTCCCTTTGTCTTTGTCAATTCTTTGTGTTGTAAGGGCAGGATGTTTAAAAGTTGAAGTCATTGACTTGCAAAATGAGAAATTTTAGAGAGCATTTTGTTCTCTAGACCACGTAGCTTACAGCAGTGTTCACACTGAGGTTACTGCTAATGTTTATGCAGTTCTTACCAAGAAAGTAATAGTATCATTTATCCAGCAACAGGATATGGCAGAGGACTTCAAAATCCCCAGAAAATGTTTTACCGTATATCGAAAGCCCTTTGGGAAATGGAAAGGAATTGCGGGCTCCCATTTTATATATGGATAGATAGAGACCAAGAGGGACCAAGGCAACTCTGTGTGCTTTACATTAATAAAGTATAAAATGTTAACATGTAGGAAATCTAGGCAAAGATTATGTGAGAATTCTTTGCACTAATTTTGCAACATTTTAATGCAAGTCTGAAATTATGTCAAAATAAGTAAAAATTTTTACAAGTTAAGCAGAGAATAGCAATGATTAGTCACAGAAATCAGTAGCAAAATCTTCTTCTTAGTATTGACTTGGTTGCTTTTCAATCTCTGAGGACACAGAGTGTTTGCTTCCAAATCCACAAGTCACATCGGTGAGGAGACTCAGCTGAGACTTTGGCTAACGTTGGGGGGTCCCTCCTGTGTCTCCCCAGGCGCAGTGAGCCTGCAGGCCGACCTCACTCGTGGCACACAACTAAGTCTGGGGAGAAGCAACCCGATGCCAGCATGATGCAGATATCTCAGGGTATGATCGGCCCTCCTTGGCACCAAAGCTACCATTCCAGGTAAGTTGCTATAGCTGAGACCAAAGGGTTTCTTTCTTTCTAATGTCATGTTCCCAGAAAAGAACTTTTTCTTCTCTGTTTTGAGAACATTTTTTCTTATACTCACATTAAATATTAAATCTCTATCGGCTGCTTTTCTCATCCTCTTACATTGTTTGACATGTATATGAGTTACCTTTATATGCTGGGCTAGATCAACTTGAAGATCAGAATTATTTGAAGCCCTGGCAGGCCATTTGAAATATTTATGGGGTCCATCAGTTCTCAGACATTTCTCCACTGATAGCACTATATTAGACAAATTGAGATTTTTCTTCCTTCAGTGCTTAAGTGTGCTTTCTGCTGTAGTCAAAACCGTATCCATTTTTATTCATGTGTTTGAACTCCCCACTTGATTTTGCTCTTTCAGTTAAGGTAGTTCGTCCATCTTAGCTCCAACAGCACAACAACTGACGTACTGAGGACCACTCAGTGTATACATTATCTCATGTAGTGACTCATAGACTTCTTTAAAACAGATACAGTAGTATTAACCCCATTTTGCAGAATAGGAAATTGAAGCTTGGGGCTGGGTGCAGTGGCTTGTTCCTGTAATCCCAGCACTTTGGGAGGCCAAGGAGGGCAGATCACCTGAGGTCAGGAGTTCAAGACCAGACTGGCCAACATGGTGTGAAACCCTGTCTCTCCTAAAAATACAAAAATTAGCCAGGTGCGGTGGCATGAACCTGTAATCCCAGCTACTCGAGAGACTGAGGCAGGAGAATCACTTGAACCTGGGAGGTGGAGGTTGCAGTGAGCTCAGATTGTGCCACTGTACTCCAGCCTGGGTAACAGAGTGAGACTCCAGCTCAAAAAAAAAAAAGGAAATTTAAGCTTGGAAAGATTAGTTTGTCCAAGCGCAAACAACTGATCAGTATCCAAGTCAAGACAAATCCAAGCCAGGTTTCAAAGCTGCTGCATGTAATCAGTAGATTATACTTCCTCTGTTTTTCTAGCTACTGTTGTATGGGTGAAGGTTTGGTGAGGAAGGAGAGCCCTCACAAGTGGTTTAGGAGTGGGGTTATAGAAGGAGGGAGCACAGCCTGACCACCACCGCACATTAGAGAGAACTAAGCCAGGACTCCCCTCCACTTCAGACTTGGGACCCATACAAACTGGAATCTATCTTCTGATCTCAGGGAGTCAGACTCCGTAGCTTATCACTTTTGGGAAATGCTTAGATAGAGCTAATGGTAGCAAGGTCAGGAAAATAAGGGTCACTTAGTCCTTACATACAAAGGAGGTGCAAGTGTTGGTGTGTGTGTGCATGTGTGTTGGGGGGAAGAGGGGAGGCTGGAAGCTTCTGGAAGGATTACTTAATGAACAGATGGTACCTATGCATTTGGCAAGGCCAGAACTCAGTCACAGCCCTTAATGCTCATGTCTGGTCAAGTCAAGGGCCAAATCCTAGACCTCTCACTGATGAACAGTAGCTCATGGAATTGAACAGGACAAACCTTTCTCAGCATATCAGGGTAGGCTTCGGGCCACAGGAAGAGATAATGTCCTGGTTCCCTCCTGGTTACAGATGCTTCTCTCCCTTGGTCATGTCCCTCCCAATCACCCTGAAAGAAATTATTCTCACCGTCTGAGCCATCTGTTCTCAGAGAGCAGGTTTCCTAGCAGTGTCTCCTGACCCTTGACAAAGGCAGACTGCTTGTGCTTTACAGGCATGGAGGTGTTGAGGGCCTTTAGAAGATAAGGTGTGTGGAGTCTAACAATGAAGGAAGAATAGCATAGTGGTAAGGGACTGGGCCTTTAAGTCAGAGGTTTAAATCTCCCCTTCCCCCTATGGTGTAAGCTTGAGCAAATCATTTAACCTTTGATCTTGGCTTCTTTTTCTGTAAAAAATAACTAGTACCTACGTCATTGGATTGTTGTGAGGATTATATAAAATAGCATATGTGCAATTCTTAAGTACACAGTAAGCACTCAATGAATGATGACTGATTATAATAATTAAGCTGAAGACTTCAGGACACCATGAAACCTGGTACTGAACTTGATAGTGAATGGCCGGCACACACTTATAAATGCAGGTGTGTATGTATTAACAGAGTGCCCTTCAACAGTGGGGTCTTTGAGTGTCCTTACTCCTAACCTTCTTACGAAGTCCTAAATCCAAAGCCATATTGTGACTTAAAAAATGTGCTGGCCCTTCAGCAGAAATAAGCGCTGCAATCAGTGCTTAGAATGACTGCTTACAGTAACTATGGTGAGCTCCGACAGGCCTCAGGGGAATGGGGCCATCAGCACCAGAAGTACAGTATTTTCAAGGCTGTACTTCTGCACCTCCTTCTTCCTCCTCAGCATCCCAGCCTCCAGAAGGCTTAGGCAGGTGGATCTGCCCTTGTGTTGTATCTACCACTCTGTCTCTCTGATTCAAGCTTCAAAATAGTTCCCCCTGACACAAGGACCGTCAGCACAAAAGCACTACATGGGGACAAAAGGAGAAAGGAAAGTTCAAATAACCCAAAACGTTACAGACGTGTGCATTCTCTCCTGCTGCAGCACAAATCACCCTGTGCTCTGTTCATTCCATGCCTGAGGCTTGCAGCTCTGGCAGAGGGCTTGGCCCATGCCAAGTTCCACCTGTGGGGTCTGATCTTGGCAGCTGCAGGTGCAGAGGCGCCCCGGGTGTGTTTCTGAGGAGAACAGTGGCATCTAGTGGTCCAGTGTGCCACATCAGGTGGCTGGTATCTCTCTGACAGCCTTAGTTTAAGTTCCAGAAACCAATCTCAGTCCTGAATTTATGGATCTGTTTCTTGTTGAGAAGCAGGCGTATGAGGGGGTGAGAGGATGAGGGAGGGACAGGAGTGAAGCGAGAGAGAGAGAGAAAGAGAAGTATGGAGAGACTGAGACTGAAAATGTGTAATTTAACTGTGAGCTAGGTTGGATTTGGAATTTCACTGAAATTGTATTTCAGCTGCTTTCTATCAGACCCTTGACATTCTGTTTTTGCTGCCCTACGGAAATCTCACCCAAAAGTACTTTAGAAGAGTCCTTGAAAAGTTATGTAGTCCAGCCCCCTGACAAGAGGCTGAAATAGCAATATCAAATCAGTGATTCATTCATTCAACAAATCTGTATGAGCACCCACAATATCTCAGATGCTTTGTAGGTATTGGGAGTACAATGGTGAACAAGACATAAAAAGCCCCCTACACCACAATATTTGTTTCACAAAATGTGTTCCGTGGAATAACAGTCCACTAGATACTCCTTAGGAAAAAAAAGTTTCTGGGATCAAGTAAGTTTAGAAAACATCTCTTAGTATTATATATTTCTCTTTTAGAACAACACCTGAAAAATGGTTTGGGAGAACAACAGTTTATAAAAGACTCAGAAATCTTGCAGTAAATAAAATTGTTTAGCTTATTTAGGTCAGTATTTTCTAAACATATTTAATCATCTAAGGAATTAGTGTTCTGTGAGCACACTTTAGGAAATGTTTTCATACACTTTATTTTGTGCGCTATGTTTTAAATATTTTTACAATAACTTTTTTTTTTTTTTTTTTTGCGATGGTTCTCACTGTGTAGCCCAGGCTGGGGTGTAGTGATGTGATCAAGGCTCACTCCAGCATTGACATTCTGGGCTCAAGGGATCCTCCCACCTCAGCCTCCCAAAGTGCTGGGATTATAGGTGTGAGCCACCATACCTGGTAGATACCTGTGTTTAAAATACTTTTAAACACACAAAATAGAATGATATTGTAAGAATACATATATCTACCACAGAATTAACAAGCATTTTATGTGCACTTCAGTTCTTTAAATATTATAGATACAGTTGCAGTCTCTTTCACATAACCAACGGGATATGATATAATGTCAAGTAGTGGTAAGTGCTGTGAAGAAAATAAAGCAGGGTAACAGGCACAAAGGAGAGAAGAGATACTCTTTAGTTAGTTCCAGGAGGCCCTCTCTGAATGAAAGGAGGGAGTAAGCCAGGTGAAGAGCATTCCAGGTGGTGGGTGCAGTGAGTACAAAGACTCTGAGACCCTGAGATAGGAACAAATTTCCTGGGTTTGAGTTTCAGCAGGGATACTATTATGCTGGAGTGCAGGGTGCAAGAAGAAGAGCGAAAGAAAAAGGCTGGAGAAGTAGTCAGACCATGGTAAGAACTTTGATCCACTCAAGATGCACCCCTCTTGACAGTAAGGCTGGTTTTATGTGAGTTGGAATTGTTGCAGGATTGAGAACCTTCATTCCAAGTTTTCTTACCCATCGCTAAAAGTGCCATTTTGGAGGTATCAATGGCAAAGGTAATAAAAATGAATATTTCCAGACAACAGTAGAAGAACTTATCCTAGAGAGTGATATCAGTGCCTGTATTCCCCAGGCAGCTTGGGAATGGTAATTCCGAAGGGACAGAACCCTCTCTGGGTAGGAGGGAGAGCCCCTGACAGAGGCCTCCCATGGCCTTTCTACCTTAGGTTTGCTACAGGAAGGAACCCACTATACCCTTGCACTGGTCTGATTAGAGATATGTGTAACAGAGATTTCATATTTATAGACACCATCTATATTTTAAGATATGTTAGACCATGGCTCACACTTGTAATCCCAGCACTTTGGGAGGCCAAGGAGGGTGGATCATTTAAGGTCAGGAGTTTGAGACCTGCCTGGCCAACATGGTGAAACCCCGTCTCTACTAAAAATACAAAAATTTGCTGGGTGTGGTGGCACATGCCTGTAATCCCAGCCACTTGGAGGGCCGAGGCAGGAGAATCACTTGAACGTGGGAGACAGCGGTTGCAGTAAGCCAAGATCACGCCACTGCACTCCAGCCTGGGCGACAGAGCGAGACTCTATCTCAAAGAAAAAAACAAACAAATGAACAAAAAAAGATATGTTAAGGATAGTATTTTCCCCACTCAGTAGTGTTTCAGTTAACTATCAGTTTATTTACTTTGATTTGTTGTGTGTGTTCCTAAGTTAGATTTGAATTATCCTTTCAATGAAAGACTGCTAAAATTCTCAGCAGTTGGGAGGAGGATTACCTAATGTTTCCTACCTTCATAGAAATGGTGAATGAAACAGCCCTTATGGGGTTCCATTTCCCCTGGAAGTATTAGCTCTAAAAAGGAAGCAGACTGGGTCATACAAGATTATCCACAACAAGGCTGTCTAATGCCTCTTTAGTACAACCTCTTTATTTAGAAGGGAATGAAGAAATTCAGGGTAGAGGGTAGAATCTTTGACATATGCCATGCCATTGAGTACCGGGTCTGATTTCCCTGATCTGGCTGGTTTGGGAGCTATTTCCTTCCTTTCTCCCTTGAATTTATACCTATCCATCCCAAAGTAGGATGTGCCATTCAGTAAGCTGACTTTCTCTGATACAGAAAAATTACATTCTTGAGGAGAGCTGCTGAAAGTGTGGTCCTTCTTTTCCTTAAATTCCAGCACAAATTTTGACTCAGAATATGGTTCTTCTAGTCTCAACATATTATCTGGAGATATTCCAGCCACAAGGCATTATCACATACTTGGCCAATAAGACACTACATTTATTTACATGTGATCTAGAAATATAAGAATACATCATGAATTTTAATAGGGTTGAAATGCCTATCCATTTAAAAATAGAAAATCTTGGGCAAGAACTTCTAGTGATTTACCCTTCTTTACAGAACAGTGAGTCACAAACATTGGAACCACTTATTCCTTCCTATATGCCCTCCCCATGTGTATTTATAGAGAGACAGAGACAGACATTTTTTAGAGCAGTTTTAGTTTCACAGTGAAATTGAACAGAAAGTCCAGAGATTTCCCATATAGTCCCTGTCCCCATACGTGCATAGCCTCCTCCATTATCAGCAGCCCCCACCAGAGTAGTACATTTCTTACAACTGATAAACCTACATTGACACATCATAATCACCCAAAGTCCATAGTTTATATTAGGGTTCACTGTTGCTGTTGTGCATTTTGTAGGTTTGGACAAATGTATAATGGCATGTATCCACCATTATAGTATCATACAGAATAGTTTCACTGCCCTAAAAATCCTCTGTGCTCCACCCGTTCCTCCTTGCATCGCCCCTAAGACCTGGCAACCACTGATCTTTTTATTGTCTCCATTGTTTTGCCTTTTCCAGAATGTCAGTCATGTAGTTGGAATCATATGGTTTATAGCCTTTTCAGACTGGCTTCTTTCATCTAGTAAAATACATTTTAGTTTCCTTCATTTTTTTTTCATGGCTTGACAGCATTTTTTTTTTTAAGTAATGAATAATATTCCATTGTGTAGATATGCCACAGTTTATTCACCTACTGCAGGACAGCCTTGTTGCTTCCATGTTTTGGCAATTATGAATACAATTGCTGTAAACATCCATGTGTGGGTTTTTGTGTGGACATGAGTTTTCAGCTCCTTTGGATAAATGCCAAGGAATGTGATCACTGGACCTTATGGTAAGAGTATGTTTAATTTTGTAAGAAACTGCCAAACTTCTTTTAAAAGTGGCTGTGCCATTTTGCATTACCACCCGCAATGAATGAGAGCTTCTCTTGCTCCACATCCTCACCAGCATTTGGTGTTGCCAATGTTCTGGATTTTGGCTGTTCTAATAGGTGTGTAGTGGTATCTTGGTTTGGTTTGGTTGTTTTTTGTTTTTGCCTATGACACAGCCCTCAGGAGGTCCTGAGAACATGTTCCCCAGTATCTTGTTGTTTTAATTTGTAATTTCCTAGTGACTTAGGATGACAGCCTTTTCATTTGCTTATTCGCCATCTGTATATCTTCTTAGGATGTCTTTGGCCAGTTTTTAAATCAGGTTGCTTTCTTATTGTCGAATTTTAAGTGATTTTAATATATATATATATAGAGAGAGAGTTTATAAGTAATTTTATTTTGAGACAACTGTCTGGAGTTTACAATGCCATGATTGATAGTCTTTTTCCTCTTCTCCAGACGGGCTCTGAAAACCATCTGGAGGAGCTTGTAAATGAGAAGGCCTTGCCCTCCTAAATGTATGAGGAGGCTTTGCTTTGGCTTTTGGAAGTCATCCACAGGTGATGGAATCCCAGCACCCAAGAGCCCCTATGATTAAGCCTTCTCATAAAGCTTCCCTTTCCTTCCCTCTTTCCCCTTCTCTCTGCCTCTCATGAGCTTTTTCTGACTCTAATTTCTCTCATTCAGCTTTGTGTTTAGCTTTCTTACCACAAACAAATTGTTTCTAGTGCAGTTGAGATTCCAGGAAGATTGCCAGGGTGTATCCTTCAATTCCATAAAAAGGAAAGATATTAACTAAAAACATACACATGTGCACACAAAGTCTCCTTCACCCATGCCTATTCTCTTACTAAGCTTTTCTCCTCTTCACACAAACAACCCAGCAGATACACAATTTCGGTCTCAATCACTCTTCCACCTCTCTCATTTCTTGGCGCATGCAGAATGTCATTTCCAGCATGCAGCAAATCACATCAAAGTGCTGCCTGTGCCCAAAGGCCACGTGGCTTCCTCTGAGCTCCTCATTCCTCCTTGCTAGCCTGGGTGATTAATTGGAGGCAGATAGGTTAGAGTGTTGGGCAGTTACTCCTAGCGATGACAAACAAGGAGCCTGAGCAAGGCCCAAATATGGCCCTTTTTACCCACCCTTCCAAACACCAAACCTCTTGCACAAGAGAACATTTATAAGCTGGGTCCTCTGCCTGTAAGCCTACTAAATGATAACAGCTCAGTGGTGCTGACTGCTTTGTCTCCCTTTCTTCCAGCTCCTCTACTAGTGACCTCTCCAACTATGACCATGCCTATCTAAGGCGGAGCCTTGACCAGTGCAGCTCTCAGGGGAGCATGGAGAGCCTGGAGCCCAGTGGGGCATACCCACCCTGTCATCTTTCCCCTGCCAAGTCCACCGGCAGCATTGACCAGCTCAGCCACTTCCATAACAAGAGAGACTCGGCTTACAGCTCTTTCTCCACCAGTTCTAGCATCCTGGAGTATCCGCCCCCTAGCATCTCTGCCCGGGAGCGTTCAAGCTCCATGGACAATACTTCTGCTCGAGGTGGCCTCCTTGAAGGGATGAGGCAGGCAGATATTCGCTATGTCAAGACAGTCTATGACACCCGGAGGGGAGTCTCAGCAGAGTATGAAGTGAACTCTTCAGCCCTGCTGCTTCCAGGTAGGGAGGCCCGAGCCTCAGCAGATGGTCAGGGCTATGATAAATGGTCTAATATTCCTCGGGGCAAGGGAGTGCCACCCCCATCCTGGAGCCAGCAGTGCCCCAGTTCCTTGGAGACTGCCACGGACAACCTTCCTCCTAAGGTGGGTGCACCCCTGCCTCCAGCTCGGAGTGACAGTTATGCAGCATTTCGGCACCGTGAGCGGCCCAGCTCCTGGTCTAGCCTTGATCAGAAACGGCTCTGCCGGCCTCAGGGAAACTCTTTAGGCTCCCTGAAGTCTCCATTCATAGAGGAGCAGCTGCATACTGTGCTGGAGAAGAGTCCAGAGAACAGCCCCCCAGTGAAGCCCAAGCATAACTATACCCAGAAGGCCCAACCTGGCCAACCTCTGCTGCCAACCAGCATCTACCCTGTACCTTCCCTGGAGCCACACTTTGCCCAGGTGCCTCAGCCTTCTGTGAGTAGCAACGGTCTGGTGTACCCTGCACTGGCCAAGGAGAGTGGATATATAGCCCCTCAGGGAGCGTGCAACAAGATGGCTACCATTGATGAGAATGGGAACCAGAATGGATCTAGCAGGCCTGGGTTTGCCTTTTGCCAGCCCTTAGAACATGACTTGCTGTCCCCAGTGGAGAAGAAACCAGAAGCTACAGTCAAGTATGTCCCCTCCAAAGTCCATTTTTCTTCAGTGCCTGAAAATGAGGAGGATGCCTCCCTGAAGAGACATCTCACACCTCCCCAAGGCAACAGCCCACATTCCAATGAGAGAAAGAGCACCCACAGCAACAAACCATCTTCTCATCCCCACAGCCTCAAATGCCCTCAGGCTCAGGCCTGGCAAGCGGGTGAAGACAAGAGATCTTCCAGGCTCTCAGAGCCTTGGGAGGGTGATTTCCAGGAAGACCACAATGCCAACCTCTGGAGGAGGCTGGAGAGAGAAGGCCTAGGCCAGAGCCTGTCAGGCAACTTTGGCAAGACCAAGTCAGCCTTCTCATCTCTCCAGAACATTCCTGAGAGTCTGAGAAGACACAGCAGCCTGGAGCTAGGCCGGGGAGCCCAGGAGGGTTACCCAGGAGGCAGGCCCACCTGTGTAGTCAACACCAAGGCAGAAGACCCTGGGAGGAAAGCCGCTCCTGACCTTGGGAGCCATCTGGACCGGCAGCTTTCCTACCCGCGGCCCGAGGGGAGGACCGGTGCCTCGGCCTCTTTCCACAGCACAGACCCAAGGCCTGAAGAGCTGCCTGCCGCCTCGCACCTGCACACATCCAGTCTCGGCCGGAGGGGGCCCGGCCCAGGCAGCGCCTCGGCTCTTCAGGGCTTTCAGTACGGGAAGCCCCACTGCTCGGTGCTGGAGAAGGTCTCCAAATTCGAGCAGCGAGAGCAAGGGAGCCAGAGACCCAGTGTAGGCGGCTCCGGTTTTGGCCAGAACTATAGGCCCCACAGGACAGTCTCAACTTCCAGTACTTCTGGGAATGACTTCGAGGAGATAAAAGCCCACATCCGTTTCTCTGAGTCAGCTGAACCCCTAGGCAACGGGGAGCAGCACTTCAAAAACGGGGAGCTGAAGTTGGAAGAGGCTTCCCGGCAGCCCTGTGGTCAGCAGCTGAGCGGAGGAGCCTCGGACAGCGGCCGTGGCCCCCAGAGGCCGGATGCTCGGCTCCTCCGCAGCCAGAGCACCTTCCAGCTCTCCAGCGAGCCAGAGAGGGAGCCCGAGTGGCGGGACAGGCCCGGCTCACCCGAGTCGCCCCTGCTGGATGCCCCCTTCAGTCGCGCCTACCGGAACAGCATCAAGGATGCACAGTCTCGTGTCTTGGGGGCCACTTCCTTTCGACGCCGAGACCTGGAGCTGGGGGCGCCTGTGGCATCGAAGTCCTGGCGGCCGCGGCCTTCCTCTGCCCACGTGGGGCTGCGGAGCCCCGAGGCGCCGGCTTCCGCCTCCCCGCACACGCCCCGGGAGCGGCACAGTGTGACCCCTGCGGAGGGCGACCTGGCCAGGCCCGTGCCCGCTGCCGCCCGGAGAGGGGCTCGCCGGCGCCTGACTCCCGAGCAGAAGAAGCGCTCCTACTCCGAGCCCGAGAAGATGAACGAGGTGGGGGTCGCGGAGGAGGCCGAACCAACACCCCTGGGCCCGCAGAGGAATGGGATGCGTTTCCCGGAGAGCAGCGTGGCCGACCGGCGCCGCCTCTTCGAGCGCGATGGCAAGGCCTGCTCCACGCTCAGCCTGTCGGGGCCCGAGCTGAAGCAGTTCCAGCAGAGCGCCCTGGCCGACTACATACAGCGCAAGACCGGCAAGCGGCCTACCTCCGCCGCCGGCTGCAGCCTCCAGGAGCCCGGGCCACTGCGCGAGCGCGCCCAGAGTGCCTACCTCCAGCCTGGCCCCGCGGCGCTCGAACCCTCCGGCCTCACCTCAGCCTCCAGCTTGAGCTCGCTGCGGGAGCCCAGCCTGCAGCCCCGCAGGGAGGCCACACTCCTGCCAGCCACAGTTGCAGAAACCCCGCAGGCTCCCCGAGATCGCAGCAGCTCCTTTGCCGGTGGCCGCCGCCTCTGGGAACGGCGACGCGGGGACCCACAGGTCCCAAGGGAGCTGCTCGGTGGAGCAAACGGTGGAACAAGGGGCACCCAGAGAGTGGATGAGACCCACAGGGAGCCATCCTCCTGGGGGGCCAGGGCTGGGAAGTCCATGTCAGCTGAGGACCTGCTGGAACGCTCAGACGTCCTCGCCGGCCCTGTCCACGTGAGGTCCAGGTCATCTCCCGCCACTGCGGACAAGCACCAGGTATGTGCAACCAGCAAGTCCTGGCCTCGGACTGTCCCTTCCTCCCTAGAAGTTTTAATGGGGCTCCCCAACCCCCCACACTCACTCCCTCTCCCAGTTCAGTTTTCCTTGTGAAAACAGAAAAGTAGCATTCGTTTTCATGAGTTGAGTTTCTCAAGTGTCCCTGCCTGGTTTTCTTACAAAGATATAGGTATCTAGATTACCTATATTGTTATACAGATTATCTATCTTCTTTTTAGGAAGTCACCACCTCTCAATGCAAAAATGCAAGGTTAGGAAAAATTAGGGATTATCTTTTTTGTTTTTTGTTTTTTAATGGATTAGAGTGTGGATCTGAGTATTTAAAACGTTTTAGCTTTGCACCCTTTCTGTTTCTATTGGACTTTGCATCTACAAAATAGCTAGAGTGATTGACATTGATAGTCATTGGTTATTGAATTCCTGGCCCTCAGCTAAGTGTGTGGCAGGTCCTGAGCTAAGTGTAATCTACATTTATTATTTCATTTAACCCTCACGATAATCCTGTGCAGTAGAGTATATTATACATGTCAGACCCCTGTGTCTCAGACTCCCACCTGAGCTCTTTCTGTGCATTATCCTGGTGAGGGGAGAAAATAAAAACTCAAAATCTCACATAAAAGGATTTTCTAATAAAGGCACCAAATGCTGCAAGGGTTATAAAGTACTTTCCCCTGAAAATTTTAAGCAATGCTAGGAATAGAAGCTGAGCATTCTGACTCCTAGGAGCCTATTAATTTCCCCAATTCTTAGCCTATCCTCAGGCTTCACTTCCACTGGAGATCAGTGGCCTGCCTCATGCTTCCCTTCCCACCAAAGAAAATAGTAGGAATCACATACCTGTTAGCACAGGGAAGGAAGAACTCTGCTCCACTGCCTCCTCTCAGATTCTGCTGTTTTCCCTTTCAGAGAAGTCAGCCATTCAGCAAGCATCTGTAGAGCATGTGTTGTATGAAAAATGCTGTGTTACAGCATCAAAGGATACACAAAGGAAAAAAAAAGGCTCATGCCTCTCTGGGGTTCACAATTAAGCAAGGAATACGGCCTTATATATATAAATAATTCTAATATGACTAGTGAATGTTTTGGGAATGGTGATCAATAATATGCTATGGTAAGGAAAGTGATTAATTCTGAGGTGATCTGAAAGTGCTTCTCCTGAAGGTAAATGGGATTTGGGGCCAGGATGTAAAAGATGGGCATGATGACAAGAGATTAGGTGAGAGGGAATACATTGATCGGAAGAAACCAGTTGAGACAAAGCAAGATTCAGCAGTTACTGGCTAAGAAGTTTGCTGCACTCTAGCACACACATACAAACACCCTTCTGAGAGAAAATACTGTCCCTTCCCAGATGTTTTCTGTTTAGAATTGTACAGAAATATATTCTCCCAGTATAAACCCCCGACAAATGTAGAGGCAACTTCCCATAAGCCTTCAGTAGCTTTTTCCTCCTTCAGAATGAACAGAGCTAATTCTGACTCCCTATCCTACCAATAACACACATTTAAAATCCATATATGTAACACGCAATTTCATCTAGCTTGATAGATTTTAGCAACTTAACTGCATAGCAGTCTAAACACCCTCCTTTCTCTCCCCGTGTTTTAAAGAAAATAGAAATGCTTAGGTGAAAACCAAATCATTATTGTTTATTCCCCATTAGATATTGTTATTTTGTCTTAGAGGTTGGTTGGATGGCTATGAATGTTATTTTATCTTTTCCCCCAAATATTTCTTAAGCCTGGTTGATTAAGAAATAAAGCTAAAACATGGGTATTAAGGGAAGTGAAGAGATTCCTCCAAATCCCAATTAAATACTTTGTATTATTTGGGAAACTTTTTAGAAAGACAAGTGAATACAGAACAGTACTTGGGTACCCTTTTCATAAAGGGAATGCCATATTTAGATGTTATTTAATTTGGGGAATATGCAGGCAGAGGGGGAAATATTTCCAAATGAAATACTTCTTTTGTACTGCTTTGCTCCAACAAATTCTGAAATTTCTGAACAATGCATCGTCTCTTATATTGTCACTGTGCCAGGACTGCATTCTTGAACTTCCTCCTGGTCTCCTGCACAGCAGCCAGACCTACTGACTGGAGAAGCATCTCACGGCAAGGCGGTCTGCTCCTTGCATCCTCTTCGTCATCTGCCTTATTTGTAGTTATGATGAGTTAAAAATAAAACAAAGTTATTCTCACCACATAACTATTGTGGTTATTTTATATATATATATATATCCTATTGAATACATTTCAAGAACATTACCAGTAAGCTTTTGGGAAGGTTTGTTAATCATTTTTCTCATCCTTGCTTTAGAGAATTCTGACAAGTTAAGTGACCTTGTAGAGGCTGTCTGCCTGAGTTAAAACCAAAATGTGGAGTGTGTTTCTGCTGCTGGCTTAGTTGATGCTATCTCCAACAAATGCTGCTTGCTCTTACCAGTCAGATGCTGACAGGGCAGGATTTTACAAGTTTTTGACAAGGATTTAGCTCTTTTTCAAAATTCTCATTAGTGAGGCCTTTCTGCCTCCAAAAACAAAGTCATCATGGAAATCAGTTCCTCTGTATATGACAATTGATCCATCTCTGGCCTGAAATAATGACTGCAGGAGGCTACCATTTTGAACTACTTGTAGCCTGAGACCTTCTCATATATTTGGCAGGTCTGGCCTTTCCTCAGCCAGCTTGAAATCCTCTCTGAAACATGCAACCTTCCATTTTCTTCTCTGTAATTCTTCTTCATTGCAGAATAAATAGATACTAGTGGTGGAGCTTAAGTGCACATCAGACTCTTGCCTGTTGCCACTTTCTTTCTGTGAGACCTTGGAAAGCTTAACCTGTTAAAAGTGGGTAGGACCTGCAAAGCTACAGAAAGATATCCAACATTTCTGCCTTAGAGACAGAAATGTGTATCTGTTCATTGCATAGATTTAAAATATAGTAGAGCCTATAAAGAGAAACCCTTGGAGAAATAAGATTACTGGTGAGGATTTTTCCCCCAGATGCTAAGTTAGAGACTTCTCTGGTTCTCACAGTATTTTGTCTGATGTATAACATAATCACTATGAGATGCTGTGACAAACCTTATTGAATTGCTGAGGAAATTGCTCAATGCATGGAACCACAGTATTGGATATAGACTTGATTCTGTGGAATGCAACTTGTAAATCTTTTTTAATACCTTTCTACACGCACACATTTAAGCTTATACAAAACAGAATCGACTTTCCACAAAATGTGAAGATACAAATAGCTAACAATAATCAAAATTTTGCTGTGTGCCAGTCATTGTGTTGTGTTTTATAAGTATAAAGTTAGTCTTGGCTGGGTGCTGTGGTGCACACCTGTAATCCCAGCACCTTGGGAGGCCAAAGTGGGTAGATAGCTTGAGGCCAGGAGTTCGAGATCAGCCTGGCCAACATGGCAAAACCCCGTCTCTACTAAAAATACAAAAATTAGCTAGGCATGGTGGTGTGCATCTGTAGTCCCAGCTACTTGGGAGACTGAGGCATGAGAATTGCTTGAACTCAGGAGGCAGAGGTTGCAGTGAGCTGACATCGCGCCACTGCCCTCCAGCCTGGGCAACAGAGCGAGACTCTGTCTCAAAGAATAAAATAAAATAAAATTAGTCCTCACATCTGTGCAATGAGGTAAATACTATTATTATCTCTAAGTTACAGAAGAATGAACCAAGTCACAAAGAGGATACAAAATTTGCCCAAAGTAGTAAGGTGAGGTTTTGACCCCATACTGCCTGACTGCAGAGTCTTTAAGTCAATATACCGTGCCGTCTCCTTGAATAAAAAGAGGCTGGGAATGGGGAAAGAGAGGCAAGAGTTAAACGTTCTGTATCTGAAAATATCAGATATTCAGCCAATGAATTTATTTCATTTTAGCTTTTATTGATTACTATTTCAGTCATGCATCATATAATGGTCAAGGATGGACCAGATATGCGACAGTGGTCCCATAAGATTATAATACCATACTTTTACCGTACCTTCTCCATGTTTAGAAACAAAAATACATATCATTGTGTTGCAACTGCCTACAGTATTCAGTACAGTAATATGCTGTACAAGTTTGTAGCCTAGGAGCAATAGGCCTATACCATATAGCCTAGGGATGTAGTAGTCTGTGTCATCTGGTTTCTGTAAGCACACTCTATGATGTTTGCACAAGGACAAAATTGCCTAATGATGCATTTCTCAGAACATATCCCTGTTGTTAAGTGACACATGACATCAGATTTTTCATAAGGATTTCTAGTTAATTTTAGTAGTTACTTGAAATATTCTAAAGTAGGTGAATATTGTTGTCTTCACATTTCATCAGTGACAGAGATATTGAGATAACTAACTTGGAACCCAAAACAAGAGGACTGAGATTCAGTAGACTTTAGATTTACATTATTATTATTATTATTATTATTTTTGGAGACAGAGTGGCGCGATCTCAGCTCACTGCAAGCTCCGCCTCCCGGGTTCACGTCATTCTCCTTCCTCAGCCTCCCGAGTACCTGGGACTACAGGCGTCTGCCACCATGCCCGGGTAATTTTTTTTGTACTTTTAGTAGAGACGGGGTTTCACCGTGTTAGCCAGGATGGTCTCGATCTCCTGACCTCGTGATCCGCCCATCTCCGCCTCCCAAAGTGCTGGGATCACAGGCGTGAGCCACCGTGCCCAGCTGATTTACATTATTAAGTATGCTAAGAACTGGTGTATTTTTAAGTCAATTTTGAGATAATTAACAAAAATAAATTAGACAAGAAGTTGGTATAATTCTATTCCTAGTATTTTTCCCATAGCCACTGCTTTTTTGCTGTAATTGCCATAAGTACTTTGTACTTCTTACCAGTTCACAGAAAATTTAAGTCTTGACAGTGAATATATGCTTAAATTAAAGCAAGAAATGCAACAGGAATTTATCTTCTTGGACTTGTATCAGATTGGGAAGATATTTTCCTTTGTCCAAGTGGTATTTTGATTGACAGAAGATTGAGAGAATTCTCTCAATCATTTATTACTGGGTCTAATTCCTTTATTTTACCCACATCCACATAAATAGTTTAAGCTTGATATTGTAGGGGCCAAATCATGTGAATACAGAAGTTAGATTCATTGTCAAACTGAAATGCAAAGGATATAATAGGATATGAATATATATTTATACTTTACTGTGTTAGGAGCTCACATGGGACCTAGGCTTTTCCAATTAATTATTGGCAAAGTGGCACATTCATGTCAACATAGGGAAAAGTGGTGGGAAAAGACTTTTAAAGGACCATAAATTTCATGGAGAGCAGGAATTCTCATTCCCTACAATGATACTTGAGTGAATCAGAACACTATGGAATTCATTTTTCTCAAGCCATTCAAGTCTGATTGCATCCAGCCCAGCTGCCATTCAACCTGTAAAGATTCCATGGCAAGACCTTGGGCTTTGAGATCATGGCTTGAATCATAGTTTCTCCACTTACTTAACTGTGGGCAAGATATGTCACCTCGCTGAGCTGCAATTACATACCCCGCTTCCAATTGTTATAGATTAAGTTACCAAAAAAAAAAAAAGTCAAGTGCCTAATATTCCAGGCATATAATTTGTTGGTGCAAGGTACTTAGCAGAGTGTCTGGTACACAGTAAATACCCAGTACCTGTAGCTGCAATTATGAATAATGTTCAGGGGTTTGTTTCTTCTGCCTGCTATCACCTTTGACCCTTTCCATTGCTTATTAGTTTCTCAGCCACTAAACAAAAACAATGAGGAACGGGGTGAAGAGCAGTTAACCCTTTGGGCAGGGTTAAATGGCAAAATAAATTACTGAAATTAAGTTAGAGATTATATATGGATTTATTTTTTTCTGGTTTTTGCCTGTCTCCTGTCATAAATAATTGGGAGTTGAATGTATTATCATCAATAGCAACATCATCATCTTCATCATGGACCTGAACACAGGGACCAAATTGTATACTGTCAAAAACTGACAACCCTTTCAGAACCCCAGTATATACCCTCATTGATAAAAAACAACTACCCCTGAAAAGTCCCTAGAGTTATTGATCTCACATGTGAGTGAACTTTTTCCCAGAACTTATTGCAACCCAATTACAATCCAAATTCATATCTTCACTAATTGTAACTAAGAACATTTGAGATTTTTGCAAAATGTAATAGTCTATCCTTTCCCGTCATCTCTCATATTTCCCTATTGCCATTTGAAAAGTTTGACCCATTGAATTCATTGTCTTTGTTACCCTATTTCAAGTTTAGCAGTTGTTTTGAACTCTGGAGATAATCGTTAGGAGACTTCTTTTACTTAGGAAACATCCTTGTTAGAGGAGGCACCTGGTGAGACAGACTGAAGTTCAAATTCTGACTCTGCCACTTTTTTTTTTTAAATCTTCAGCTTATCTCCTGCATCGATGCCATGGGATTATGTAAGAGTGCCACCACGTGGCCTGACAATAGTAGGTTGCCAGTAAATAGGTGTTTCTTCTCCTTTTTACCCCACCCCCTTGGTAAATTTAAACACCTGTTTATTGGCAGTAATGCTGTGTCTTTCTTGTGTTTCAAGGATGTGCTTTTGGGGCAAGACAATGGCTTTGGTCTTGTGAAGGATCCATGTTATTTGGCTGGTCCTGGATCTAGGTATGTACGTGTACTTACGATGCTCTCCACGTATGAATGCTGCTGGTGTTAAACTACTCTTGTTCCTTTCTACAAGAAATTGAAATATGATGTTGTATAGTGTCACATGCTTTTTTGATTTGTCTAGGCCATGGATAACTTTTTATTTTCCATTTAGAAATGATTTTCTTTGAGAATGACACTTGTTCAAAATAGGTTTTGAACATGTGCTATTGAGGACAAGGTAGACTTGGCTAACCAGTTTGACAACAGAATAATTAATGGAGGTGCTTTTCTCGCGCATGCCCCTTGGCTCTCACAAACAGGGCCTCCTGTGTGGCTGATTTCATCCAGCTCTGTGTGCAGAGCATCACGTCTGGTGACCACAGTGCTAGGGAAGAATGGGCATTTCATGAACAGCTTCACAGAGGAAGGCAAACTGTAAGCATTGGAGGTGAAAAATAAAGCTCAAAATCATAATTTTATACATGTGGGGATAGAAAACAGAGGAAAGTCATTTTTTAAAATGCCATCAAAATCATATTCTAGGTAGAAAAATATAATGAGCACTTTTTTAGAATTTAAAATTTTGAACTGTTTACATGGGACTTAATAAGTAGAAATTTCCAGAAAGGGTTTTTCTCTGAACCATGTACTCTGTATGTAGTTTTAATGCAGCATTACAGAGTTATCTACTTTAATCTATTATTACTAATGATAATATACCTACACCCTACCTACTCCTTTCCATGTTTTTAAGCCATTTCCTTAATTTTTCTTATATTTCATTCAATCATGTTTCTACATTCACCTTCTTAATAACACAACGCAATACTGTCAAGTAGAAGCAGCCAACATGGTCAGGAAGTAGGTATTAATTACCTGCTTTCCAGCCAACATCAGCCTTCTATATTTATATGCTCTTGCTCCTATAGCTGTGTTGACAAGGAAGGAAGTATTCAAGGTGAGACTGAGGACTTTGGTTAGTTTGGGTGCATTAATTAAAAGCTAGAGACAAGGGAAAAGTAACAATAAACTAGAGCACTGCTAAAGAAAATTGGTCTGAAATCAAAGGTGGGACTAAACAACAAACAATCAAATAACCCTATTTAAAAATGGGCAAAGGTGAAAAAAGTACAAGATCATGTCCTTTGCAGCAACATGGATGGAGCTGAAGGCCATTATCCTAAGCAAATGAACACAGGAACAAAAAAACAAATACCACTTGTTCTCACTTACAAGTGGAAGCTAAACATTAAGTACACATGGACACAGAGAAGGGAACAATAGACACTGGTGCCTGTTTGAGGGCGGAGGGTGGTAGGAAGGTGAGGATTGAAAAAACTACCGATCAGGTACTGTGCTTACCTGGGTGACAAAATTATCTGTACACCAAACCCCAGCGACATGCAATTTACCCATGTAACAAACCTGTACATGTAGTCCTTGAACCTAAAATAAAAGTTGGAAAGGAAAAAAAAAATTGAAGGTGACAGGTGAGTGGACTGCTTGTTGGCTCAGTGGCAATATCGACAATCTGAGAAACACAGGTAGCAATTTTGTGGGGAGGGGGAAATCTTCCTCAACAAAACTAGTTCTGTGTTTAAAAAAAAAAATTATGAGCTGTAAAAATGCCAAAAGAATAAATATGACAAGCATCACATACCGCTGAATAACTGAAATGCTTGTCCTGTTCTTCAGCAACTGACATTAGCATAGGTGCAGCTGCATGCCTAATGCTTGCTGAAAAAGATAGTGATAATTTCAGGACATGTAATTCTCAGCTGTCCTGGGGAAAAGCATAGGCATGGAAAGTGCAGCCCACAGGAAAACATGGGAGGGACTTGATCACAGATCCTGCGCTATGAATTTTGAATACTAAAAATTCTGCTTGCAGCGTGTTTTTCTGACCACCACAACCAAGAAGACACAAAAAAGTATAACATTCTTTTTTTTTTCTAAAGGCTTGCATGGTCTTTTACCATAGTCACTCTATTAATAATAGTAGAAAGACAGAAGTCCCATCAACTGTGGACAATATTGAAATGTCAGAATAATTTGGAAGGTGGAATCTGTCCTCCATGGATGCTTATTAGGATCAGTTTTCCTCCATGCTGACATAATTCTCTCTAAATACATGAAATTCAGACTTTACATTAGTGCTTTTATAAAAACATAAAATGCTCTAATTCATAGAAAAATAGAGATTTTGCACCGTTCAAGTTTTATAAGAGTTTGATGCCTTCATGGGTCACAAAGAGACAATAGTTATCATTATTATATACTTCTTTCCTGCTTTCAAACTATTCTCCATTCTTTTTAGCTTCCATTTTAAAGAAAAACACTAGAGGACACCAATCAAACTAAATTCAGACATTCACTTGTTAATTTCAAACATAAAAATTTACTTGTCTGTATAAAAATGGGCAAATGATTTAAATAGACATTTCTCTAAAGATGGCAGACACATGGCCAACAAGCAAGTGAAAAGATGCTCAACACCACTAATCATCAGAGAACTCAAAACCACAATCCACAATGAGATGTTACCTCACACACATTAGGATGGCTGCAATTAAGAAAACGAAAAACAACAAGTGTTGGTGAGGATATGGGAAAATTGGAAATCTTGCACACTGTTAGTGGGAATATAAAATGGTGCAGCCATATGAAAAACAGCATGGAGGTCTCAGAACATTAAAAATAGAACTACCATATGATCTGGCAATGCCACTTCTGAGTATATGTCCAAAAGAATTGAAAGCAGGGTCTCCAAGAGATATATTGCACACCCATGTTCATAGCAGCAGTATTTACTATTCACCAAGAGGTGAAAACAACCCAAATGTCTACTCATGACAGATGATTGGATAAAACAAAATGTGGTGTAGCCATACAATGGAATGTTACTCAGCCTTAAAAAGGAAATTCTGCCACATGCTACAACATGACATTATGTGAGGTGAAACAGGCCAGTCACAAAAAGACATACTGTATAATTTCACTTGTATGAAGTGCTTAAAGTAGTCAAATTCATAAAAACACAAAGTAAAATGGTGATTTCCAGGGTTTAGTAGGAGGAGGAAATGGGGAGTTATTATTTAGCGGGTACATAGTTTTGTTGTGAAAGTTCTGGAGATCTGTTTCACAACAGTGTGAACATATTAACACTACTCAACTTAAAAATGGTTAAGATGAAATTTTATGTTGCTTTTTTAACCACAATTTTTAAAAAGTGCTTTTTTTAAAAAAAGCAAAACAAAACAAAGGTGAGACTAATTGCTCTCAAAATCCATTCTTGAATAGTAGGATTCCTGGATACATATCAGCAAGATTCTGGGTGAGCCTCTCACACTGTATTATAAAAGGGACTTGAACAAAGTCTTTTTTTTTATCCCAAACTTCATTCCTAAAAACACAAAATAATCACCATGGAGAAGCATTCTCAACCAAGCTAAGCATTTACTACTGATATTATCTTCAAAAAGAAAATGCCACTTTAATACAGTCTGTGTAAAGTAAGGTCACACAAACTAAAAATATCATATGAAAGTCTATTGGGCTGGATCTTTAAAGGATAAGTGTTACATTATTGTATGTTTTAGTGATGTCTCCCCCTTTAGAAAAGCCTCAAGATATAATAAATAAAACAAAGGCATCTGAATTAGTCGTTAAAACATCAGATTTCAGCTGACTCCACGTCCTCTTAAAGGATGCTGAGTTTAAAAACAGTTTGTATGCTACAGTCTGGAGAGCAGCTGGGCAAAGGAGACGTCACTGTTCAACAGACACTTGCTGAGGGCTGAGGGGATACTTGGTGCCAGGTATTGGGGATGCCAGGATGGATGAGAGAAGGGAAGAGCATCCCCAGCGAATCTCCTTCCTCGGGGTTTCTAATATGCTCATGGGGGAAGCCAGCAGGAAGTGCAGAGTGGCTACTCTTCACTATGGGGAGGTTCCTGGTAAAGAAACCGTGTTTGAATGAAAGGGACCGGTCATCGGAAGGGACGGGTTGCATCAGAGAGAGAGGTGGGCCCTTTATTTCATCATCTGCATCTGTGTGTAATAAAGGAAAAATAAAGGCATGAGAAGAGCTAATTTGGTTCTTTGCCATCTTCTTCCACCACGCATTCTGCTTGCCTGGCACTTGGATGATCTTGTGGCAAGCCCTGTATTATTGCTCTGATGTGGGACTGAGTCACCGCTCCCTCAGAGGAGTCTGATCCGTGAGATGAAACGTGCCATCTGCGGTCCAGATTCACTCACAAAGCCAGTCAGGGAACTGCAGACAGGGAATGTACAAATCACAGTGGGTTTGCTGGAGAGCTTTTTATCCTCACATTAACTCTTGCATAGCAGGCAGTGCCACAGACTCTTTTTCCTTTGTTTTGGTTTGTGGTTTTTTTCTCCTTTAGAACACAATAACAAAAGTTTTGCGAATTGTTGGGTTTTTCCTCGGAGTCTAGAGTACAGTTGTTTAAATCACCATGTACCATATTTGCTTATTATTGCCAGCCTCTTCCTCGAGAGGTAACTGTTTATTAGCTCCTTAGGTGAGCCTCTCCCCCTCCTTTTTATTTTTCATCAGATGAAATGAAAACACTAGGAGAGTGACCAAACGTCGTAAATAAAACCTTCAAATTCAGCAGCCCATGCAAATGCTTTCAAAACAGACCTCCCCCGTGGGGATTACACTGGGAGAGAAGAAGGCAGTGTTATTCTTCCCCAGAGCTGGGAGCTATTTCCTGAAGTAGTCCTAAAAGGGGCTGCAGAAATGTACTGTTTGTTTTTATATCCTGAAGCCTGTCCTCAAAAGCTGCCTTATGTTGCATGGTGTGTACAGGATGTGGGGGCGGTGAGAGGGTTAATAAAAGAAAATGCCTTGTGAACCCAGGCATTCCATGTGACATTTTCCTGTAGGAATTTATGCCTGTCGAGTACTAGTTTAACTTGGGTCTTCCTGTGAGCAGCCAGGGAGGACAGTGTGCAGTTTCTGGGGGGAGGAAAGGAGGTCCTCCTTCCTCTTAAGTGCTTTTCTCATCTATGTAAGGAACATTGGGCTGCATGCTTGCCCCTTTCTTCAGAGCTGTAACCCTCCTGTCTGTGTGCTGTTCCAGGTCACTCAGTTGTTCAGAAACAGGCCAAGAAGAGATGCCGCTGCTCTTCCACCATCCCACCCCTCGTTGGGGTGGTTCAGGTTGCAAAGCCATTGGTGATTCCTCCGTTCCTAGTGAATGTCCTGGAACCCCGGACCATCAGAGGCAAGCCAGCAGGACACCCTGTCCCAGGCCACCACTGGCAGGAACGCAAGGGCAGCTCACAGACACCAGGGCTGCACCCCTGACCCCACTTGGCACCCCTCTGCCTTCAGCTGTTCCCTCTGGCTACTGCTCACAGGATGGTCAGACAGGGCGACAGCCTCTCCCGCCCTACACCCCTGCCATGACCCACAGAAGCAATGGTCACACCCTGACCCAGCCTCCCGGTCCAAGAGGCTGTGAGGGTGATGGCCCAGAGCATGGGGTAGAAGAGGGAACGAGGAAGAGGGTCTCACTGCCTCAGTGGCCACCGCCTTCTCGAGTGAAGTGGGCCCACGCAGGCAGAGAGGACAGCCTTCCTGAGGAATCCTCAGCCCCTGAGTTGGCAAACCTGAAGCACTATCAAAAACAGCAGAGTCTTCCAAGTTTGTGCAGCACTTCTGACCCAGACACGCCTCTTGGGACCCCGAGCACTCCAGGGAGGATCTCCCTCCGAATATCTGAATCCGTCCTGCGGGACTCCCCGCCACCTCGCGAGGATTATGAAGACGAAGTGTTTGTGAGGGATCTGCACCCCAAGGCCACGTCCAGCCCCACGTTTGAAACTCTTCCCCCACCCCCACCTCCTCCACCAAGTCAGGAAACCCTGGTGTATAGCATGGATGACTTCCCTCCACCTCCTCCCCACGCAGTGTGTGAGGCGCAGCTGGACAGTGAGGATCCTGAGGGGCCGCGCCCCAGGTGAGTGAGCAGACTGGGCAGGTTTCCTTCACTAACAGGAGAGTGTCATGCCCCAGGTGGCCCAGGTCCTTCTGCTGGCCACAGAAGAGACCTGGCATGGAGATGTTTCTATACAGCTCAGCTCAGGACAGTATTCATCTGTTTGCCTCAGGAGGTAGTTGGACCAGTGTCATTGGGTACCGAGGAGTCAGGGTGGCAGAAACGAAAGCTGGAACCCAAGGGGCACATTTCACTTCTGGGGACAGGATAGGCTCAGGCGGTCCAAGTAAATCCCTCCTCCCTGGCCGAGTTCTGAATCAGTTAGGAAATAAGACAAAAAAGGAGGGCATATAGAAGACAAAAACATCACTTTTATTACTGACAGAGCTAACATGAAAGAATATGGCTTCAGATTGTAAGTGGGTCCCTTGATACTGAACCCCCAAGTTAAACAGGTTTACCTACTTCATCAAAGGTCATGCTAGACACACAAATACACATAGATATTATTATACACAGCCGTGAGGCAGCCTCAGTCTCGAAAGAGAAGAGACTGGGATGTGAATGCTGAGCTTCTCTTTCCAAAATCACTCCATGTCCATAGGAATAAAGAGTAGGGCTCAAGGTCAGTAATGTTTAGGGAAAACCTCTTGGAAGCTAGGAGAATGAGAAAGCAGCATTCCCCAACACACAGTCCCTAGAACAAGTGATCTCTCAAAACACCAAAAAAACACATTGCCTGACAGCACCTTTGGAGTAGCTTTCTTTAAACACCGCAAGAGTGACTTATTACCACTACCCCCTGTTAATTTAACCTAGACCTTTCAGAAATCTCTGGAATCTAACAGCAACATTCACCCAAACTGAATTCCTATTCCATCTTCCTCAGGAGATGACAACCTCCTGACCAGCTGCTGGGCTCAGGAGGCCCTTTAGAGTGCTGTGATTTTCAAAAGACGGGGTTGACCTCAGAAATGTGACTATCTCACCCCACTCCTATGTATATATCTATGTATGTTTGTGTGTCTAGCATGAACTGTGACTAGGTAGGTAAATGTTTTTGATTAAGGGGTTCGGTATCAGGAGACCCACTTACAATCAGAAGCCATATTCTTTAACATTAGCTCTGTCAGTAAGATGTGGAAAATGTGGAAGATGTGGAAAGCTACAACCCTGATGTGGAAAGCTTCTCCCTCAGTCTTCCTCCACCCTCTTATCATCACCCTTCTCTTATCACTTTCTCTTTCTCTCTCTCTCTTTTTTTAATATCCCTGGCAGCTCCAACAAACTTTCTAAAGTGACAATTGCAAGGGAAAGGCACATGCCTGGTGCAGCTCATGTGGTAGGTAGTCAGACACTGGCTTCCAGACTCCAAACTTCTATCAAGGGTTCAGAGGCTGAGTCCACACCACCCTCCTTCATGAGTGTTCACCCCCAACTTGCTGGGTCTTTTGGTGGGCAGCCAGCACCCATCCGGACTGAAAGCCTCACCCATGATCCAGTCAATGGAACTCAGGGTTTAGAAAAGAAAGTCAATTCTGATCCTCAGAAGAGCTCAGAAGACATTAGAACAGAGGCTCTGGCCAAGGAAATTGTCCACCAAGACAAATCTCTGGCAGACATTTTGGATCCAGATTCCAGGCTGAAGACAACAATGGACCTGATGGAAGGTTTGTTTCCCCGAGATGTGAACTTGCTGAAGGAAAACAGCGTAAAGAGGAAGGCCATACAGAGAACCGTCAGCTCTTCCGGATGTGAAGGCAAGAGGTAAGTCCCTGGTGATGTCTTCAGAGCGACTTACAATCGAACTCCTTCCATGGGGATGATGATAAGTCTAGGACTAGTTGCCTGATGTTTTCCCACTTCCACAGCTCCTGACCCAAGAGTGCCATTTTTATCTCAGTCTTGCAGGAATGGCTCTGGGAGGAAGGATGCGGGACAGATAATGCAACAACAAAGAAAGTAATAGTAATAATGATAATAACTGCAATTAATACCCATTTTTCACGTGTCAAGCATTGTATTTATTTATTTATATCAACATTATTTAATTTTCACAAGAACTTGCTGAGGTAGCTACCAATTTTATCTCCATTTACAAATGAGGAAACTGAAGTACAGAGGAATTAAGACCATGCTCACCAAGGTCATTGAACATGAGAATGATAGCACCTGGATTTGATCACAGCCCCATGACTGTGTCTGTGTCCAGCAATTACACAGCGTCCCCAGCTCAGCGAAGGTGTACTTGCCCGTTCTGTATCAGAGCTGCTCTGGCAGAGAGGCCCTCAGGGCTCGGTGCTGGGAAAGGAGCAAGTAGAAGTGGTGAGCGTGGCCAACGTCTTGCCAAGACTGAGAGGGGAAGGGCTTTGTAAGGAGGAGAGCCTAGAGAAGTAAGTTCATGTATTACACTGACCCTTACCTCTGAGGCATTAAGGTGGGTGTTGGCACAAAACCTGAAAATCAGGAAAGGTCTGAGTAGGGGCGCACTCTCTGGTTTGGCCCAGTCCGTGAGCCTCTACTTCTGAAGCTCCTTGAACCAGCCATGTAACTAACACGTGCCCCAGTGTGCAGTTCGTGTTTTTGATGCTCTTCATTTCTCCTGGGTTACTGCAGTATTTTCTTGCATGTTTTATTTCCTTAAAAGACTACTATGAGAAAGATTGAGTAGCTTTCATTTTCTCTTTAATTTTCAGTGAAATCTTTGTGGATTGACAGTCTGGGACTCAGCAGTTAGTGGCTTCCAGACTAAATAAAAACAGAACATTTTATCCAAATTTAGGATTGCATTTTAAAAATTTCCAACTGATCCTAACTAAATTACTAACAGGAATACCACGTTTCATTTTGTGGAGGAGAGAGAAAGGAAAGAGCTGTGTGATACTTACAAGCTATTTGTCATGTTGTCAGAAGCTCTTCTGATTCAAGGCCTTAACTGTCACCTTGTCCATTCCCCTGCTTTTATTTTCAGATTTGGGAAATAGACTAATTGAGGTGAAGTGATTTATCCAGGGTCATGTCTTTAGCAAACACATACTGAGCACCTGCAATGTGCAAAGTAATCCACTGGGTACTATGGGGACCCCAAAGATACTATTTTTGTGGATGTGCCAGTCAGTTCGCCATGGGTGGTTGCAGTATGGTCATTCTGTTCTCTGACCACTGGCTGTAGAAGGACCAAAGTAACATCCTTAGCAAAGTATTTCGTAGCGTTACCACTGAAAATTCATGTTTACTCCATCAGTTTAGAAGCAGAATGGTCCTGTAGCTTTTGCAGCACTGAGATCTTCCTGGGGATTTAAAAAATAAATAAATAAAAGGCATGCGCCATCTCCTGGTGGAAATAAGCATTGTCCTGTTGGGCGTGAGATGGCCAGTAGCCATTGTGAGGGTTGGTCAGATGCCAGAGAATCCCATTTGTAATGCGGTGGACATATCTGAAAACAAAAATGTATTAGAAAATCTTTTCCCTGTCTTTCAATTAACTGGATTAAATGTGGTCATTGTTGCTTACTGGGACAGTTATCAAGCGGGAAACTAGTAAAAATGATTTTTGTGTGTGTGGTTCCTTATTTCATAGTAAAATGGTGGGCTAGATGTTAAATAATATCACAAGATTGAATAAAGTTCCTCTCCAAGAGAATCTTACTTCCATAGAGTCATTTATTCAGTGGGTCGAATATGAATTATAGGCTGAAAGGCAACTCAAATGTGGTAAAACAGAGAACACTAGATAGCAGGTTTCTCAATTCCGAGTTTTTTCTTCAGCCTTGAAACATCCCTATTATATTATCAATGAGTAGATTTTATATCTTGTATTAGTTCACTGCGGACCAGCAAACTGCAGATTTCCTAGGCTTATATGGGATAGCAGGCATACTTCAGAAGGAAAATTTTTGTGTGTTCAAGCAACAATACATAGTAGGCACTGGAAAGATTACATAGGAAATAATTGACCTAAAACCTGAGGTTTGTGCAGCACCTTGAAAATACTTTCACATTGATTGAGTCATGGTTCCACACTGCCTTTCTCTGAAATAAGGAGTCAGTATCGTTCTTGTATGAATCACAAAAGCAGAGAGGTTTGCCTGGCTTCAACAGCCTTGTACATAGTAATCACTCATTACTTAACAGTTACTAGTTTATCCTAATTTCTGGGAAAGAAATTAAATAGAATTGTCATGCGCTTCTGAATGGACTGACGTCTGCAGTGAAACAAAGCCTCTGGCATGCTCCGTATGGCTGTACTTTGTGCTCTTTCTGGCCCAGGAATGAAGACAAGGAAGCAGTGAGCATGTTGGTCAACTGCCCTGCCTACTACAGTGTGTCTGCTCCCAAGGCTGAGCTGCTGAACAAAATCAAAGAGATGCCAGCAGAAGTGAATGAGGAAGAGGAACAGGCAGATGTCAATGAAAAGAAGGTAAATAAAGAATGGGATGCCCTTGTTCTGCTTTCCCCAGAAAAATCGACAAAGTCCACGTAATCAGCGTGGTGACTGGGCCTCTTGAGGCAGGTGGGGAAAGGACCTGTTGCATCACCAAATTGCACCAAAATCATTAGACTTTTTGGATCTACATGGCACTTTAACCAATTTCCTCTTAGCTTTTCTGCGAGTAGGCAGGGCAGGTAAGCTACTGTCCTTTTCATTTTTACAAATAACAGAAGTGAAACTTGGAGGGATTATTTCTTAGAAGTCTCATAGCCAGGACTTGAACCCAAGTACCTAGCCTCCCAATCCAGCACCAGGACCCTGACACTGTTCTCAGCTGCTGTTTGGCCAGTGCCAACGGTGTGTGTAATTTTCGTGTTTCATGGTCAAAAGGAAAATGTAAAAATCTAGAAACTTTTTTAGGGAAGGAGGCCAATTGTCAAATGACACTTCTGAGAAAAAGTAATACTAACTTTTATATCTTCCCCAGCCCTCTTTGCAGGACTTCAGTGAATAGCTTGAAAGTGCAGGGCTGGAATCTAGTTGTTAGCATTTGATACTCCTACAGAGATTTCAAATGTTAGACACTTAAAAAATGACCGTGGTGCTGCTGCTGTCTTCCCACATGCCATGGAGATCTAAACTGGGCTGTGTCTGCAGGGGAGAAAGTTCTCGCCATTCCACTTTCTCTGTAGCACCAGAGGGGCTGCCTTCTGCTGTGCTTGCAGCTCTCTATGCAGCTCGGGCATGCGTGCTGCAAAGGAAAGCTTGCTTGCTTCTTTCTGAGCCTGGAATGTAAGTGGTTTTCAGTGATCCTGATTCCAGGAGAAACTTTCTAGGGTCATTTTATTTCATTTGCTCTACAATGTGTCCCAAGCTGTCTTGTCTGTTGGAATGAAACCACAGGATACAGACCCGAGGAGCAGAGGGTAATTGGACAGGAGGGATCTTTGCAGCACCTCTGGCTCATGGCTAACATGCTGATGCAACCATTGTAGTAGCAAGTTCCCTGCTAGCCCAAAGTTTTCCTATGTACAGACTTGTCATTGTATACCCCTGATATGTACCTGCCCCAGCACAGCTAAGCACTTCATTTAACGGGTCCCCTGATTGCAAATAAGACCACTTGGCTTTTGGTCTGTCTATATTTATCCCAAAGAGAGAGCTATGTATATACCCTTACATGTACCAGGTTGCCATGGCATCTTTAACTTTAGGTTTTACACAATTTTTTTGTTTTCTGCCTGTGGGCATACCTGCTTGACAGTTGCAGTGTGGCAAATACTCATTGCTTTTCCGACCTATCTTAATTTTTAAGTGGTTTTTTTTTTCTCACTTTTTAGAATCAGGGGCATAGGCAGGTTTGTTACAAAGGTATATTGCATGATCCTGAGGCTTGCTGTATGATTGTATGCATCATCCAGGTAGTGAGCATAGTACCCATAGTAGTTTTTCACCTTTGTCCCTTTTCCTTCCTCCCCTTCTTTTATTCCCCAGTGTCTGTTGTTCCCATATTTATGTCCATGTGTACCCAATTAACTGTTTTCCCATCACTTTCAATTATCACCCTCTCACACGAAGCATTATGTGGCAAAAAGTATTTTTAGATTGAGAATATGAAGAAAGAGAGAATTAATTCATCCTCACGGGAAATAGGTAGCATGTATTTCATTCCAAGTGCGGGCTATGTGTTTAGTTTTCTTTTCAACACAATGCTGTACTATCTTATTTGCACAAAACTCCTCTGACACTTGTACGGCCACATTTTATGCTAATGAGAATTAGAGGGCTGGGGTCACACAGTTAATAGATGCTAAAGTCAGATCTAACCTTTTGTGTTTCTGACCCTAAAGCTTGCTAAAAATTGCTCCCAGGTCAGCTGCCTTTAAACCTTGCTGCCCTGGGAACTGAGCTAAACTGGAGGTTCTCTGGGTATAACTAACCAGAGCTAGAGTTTGAGATTAAAACCAGTTAAAACCCATTTTAAACCAAAAATATGAGAACAGCAGTGTCTGTGACTTGAGGACTGAGGAGTTTCGAGTCATTTGGAGCGCCTTTTTGAGGAGTCACGGGCTTAGGAAGACAAAACCCCACTCAGGGTGAAAGGGATCCTAGGGAGAGGAAATGTCGCAGCCACATAACCAGGGCCTGGCACCTAGCACGTGCTCAATAAACATTTGTTTCATGAAGTTATAAAGTGCAAAACTCCCAAGTTGAATTTTACCATTTAACTGAAGAAAAATATCCAGAAGGCCACTGTGGAAAGGTTCTAGGATTAGAGTCTATGGCCTTGCTATCCTGAACACATCTGATCTCAGAAGGTGACCAGGGTCGGGCCTGGTTAGTACTTGGATGGGACATCATGGGATTAGAATTCAGAAGAAAAAAAAAATCTGGAAGTTAAGCAACTAGCTTGACCTTTCTGGACCCTTTTTTCTTTATAAAATGGAAGTGGTAATGATCTCTCACATAATAGTTGTGGGGTCCAATTAACTGATGGATATGAATGTGCTTTTTAAGCTGCAGGGTGTAAGAGCATATCATATCTTATTAGAGAAGTGTTAAAGGCAATGTCATGTAAGTATGCAAATATTGATGGCATCTGATATCTTTCGTGTTAAGATATTCAGTGAGAAGGTGCCTTATTGCCAACAAGGCTAGGCACTTTCCTAAATCAGACTCTTACAAGGAAAAACAGCTCACATTTGTTTTCTCTCTTCACTGTGGAAAATATTGCCCACAGCACCAGGGGGATGATACCCACTTGCCCCATGGGCTTATCTGGCTCTTCAGGGAGAAAGAAAGATGAGAAAAGGCTATTTAGTTAATGAGGCCTCCACGTCCAGTTAGAATTTCCTTTGGTTCCTTCTTCCTTCAATCCTGTCTTCTAGGGCTGCAAGTGGCCTGAGGGTTTGCATCACTTTCTGAGTGTAAAATGTTAGGCTCATAAACACTTACTGAGAACACGCCTTCTCTGTTTCAGACACTGTGCTCTGCCTTGGGCATACAAACATGAATAAGACACTGTGTCTGCTCTCCTGGAACTCTGGATTGGCAAGGGAGGTGGATTATTTTAGGATACATTATTGATCTTCTGACAGACACATGGACTGTGCCGGGGGAGCCCAAAGGAGCAGTTCCTAACTCAAGAGAGTAGAGTCAGGTTTTACCTCCTCCAGGAAGATAAAACCTGAGATCAGCATTGAAGAATGTATCGACGGGAGTCAGAAGAAAAAGCGCATTTGGGACAAAAGGAGAAGCGTAGGGAGAAACTGAAAGATACGAAAAAGCATAGAATGTGTATGGTAAAGAAGCGTGCTTCAAGTAGTTTGATATTTTGGAATGTAACAAGGGCTCATGATTAAATAAAAAATCACCAAATTTAGGCCAGGCACAGTGGCTCATGCCTGTAATCCCAACACTTTGGGAGGCCAAGGCAGGAGGATTTCTGGAGCCCAGGAGTTAAAGACCAGCCTGAGCAATATAGTGAAACCCTGTCTCTACCAAAAAAAAAAATTAGCCAGGTGTGTTGGTGCACGCCTGTAATCCCAGCTACTCGGAAGGCTAAGGCAGGAAAATTGCTTGAATCCAGGAGGCAGAGGTTGCAGTGAGCTGAGATCATGCCACTGCACTCCAGCCTGGTGACAGAGCGAGACTCCATCTCAAAAAAAAAAATTTTTAAATTAGCTGAGCATGATGGCACACACCTGTGGTCCCAGCTACTTGGGAGGCTGAGGGGAGAATCGCTTGAGCCCAACAGGCAGAGGCTGCAGTGAACCAAGATTGTGCCACTCCAATCCAGCCTCAGTGACAGAGTGAGACACTGTCTCAAAAAAAAAAAAAAAAATTACCAAATTTAGAAAATAACAAAGGAGGGCCACAAACAGTGCGAGATGAGGCTGGAAGGTTTCACAAGAGCCAGCAGGTCATAAGGTCATGTAGGGCTTTGTGTGAAATGCTGAAGTTCGGATTTTATCATATGACAATGGAGAACGCTTTGAGATTTAGTTTGTTGTAATGCTACAAGTATAAACTTGTAGTTTATAAATGTGTAATTGAATTTTCATCAGTATCACTTACATTTACATATCTGGTTTGGAAACACAAAGTTTTAAATAAGTGATGATGTTGAAAGCATCTGTTAATATATTCAGCAAAATGCAGTTTTCTTCCTGAAATACAAAAAGCTTTTCTAATGATGGTTTAGAAAAATTAAACTTGGTCAATATCCATTCTCCAATATTATTTTGAGGTAGAATGTAGCCTTTGACCAACTTTTGCAAAGTAATAATTTGTTATTTAATATTTAAAGTTATTAATAACCTAAGATATATATCTAGGCTAGGAACTAGAGTCTTGGTTTACTAATAACTATTTTATAAATTAAAAATAACACTTTAGTTTTACTTTGATATTTCTATTTATATATCCTAGATGATGAATAATAATATTCCAAGTAAATGTAAGTATCAGTTAAAATATGAAGCTTTCATTGTTTGAACTTCTGATACACATAAAACTAAAGACAGTGCAAATAATCAGAGCTGTCAATTTTTTCACTAAAGCCTGCCTTATTATTAAGCAAAATTCTACTTAAACCGATCACATGATTCCCTATTCTGAAGGCCAACAGGCTTTGGCTTCAGAAACTTAGAGGAATGTTTCAAAAGGCAAAAGGAATCTGTTGTCCTCTGAGTCAGCTTTTTTCAGGAGATCACTGGTTCTCAGCTGCCCATTCCTGCTGCTCTTCCTTCATTCCTGAAGTTCCAGCTTTCCCTCTGGTCTGTCTTCCTTTCGGTATTTATTTTAGAATAGGTCTGCTGATAACACATTCTTTTAGTTTTCTCCGTCTAGGAATGTCTTTATTCTCCTGTCACCCTTGAAGGACATTTTCGCTGGATGTGGAATTCTGGGTTGACTCTTTTCTTTCAGTACTTAACAAATGTTCACTTTCCTCTTGCTTCCATGGTTTCTAATGAAAAATGCACAGT